GTTCTATCATTGTTATTATTATTAAATTAATGATCTTTTTAACCACTAAATAAATTTATTTTTAACCTTTTTTAAATTCATTCATCATTGCACATTTTCCTCACCACTTATATGGAAACTTAAGTGGAAACACAAGAAAACAGTTCATTTAGTTGAAATACAAATGTGATGTGAAAATACTGCTTTCTTGAGTGTTTTCCCTCTCATTTAACTTACTTTGCTTTTTGTTAATTCAGCCCAGAGAGAAATTTACATAAACAATACAACCAAAAGCAGAAAAACAACTCAAAACAATCCGAACCTCCTTCTCAAAGATAGTAGTTATCAAAATAACAAGTATAAAACCAAATACTTAGGAAATGGTAAGCACTTGAATAAATTGCTAAGAAAACCATAATTCAACAGCAAGTCACTTTCACTTTTAATGGGAAAAGATTCAGTGTGTTTTGAAATATGTTTTAGCTAAAAAGTGAGAAAAATACCCCAGCGAAATTAGTTTACATGTGAAATAAGTATATCCAAGGTAGGTATTGACAACACTCTCATATTGCCATGAAATATGGAAATTTTGCAAAACTTTGTAAAATTTTTTTTCTCTCAAAAAATGTGCAATCTTAAAATTATTTTTCTATTAGTACCTGTCTGTATTTTTCCATTGCTAGATGCCAAAAATTTTACCTTGCTGGATTTCCTAAGCAGAATGTAGAATAATTACATGAACTGCAAACACAGGCTATGCAGCAGGCATCACAATGTAATGTTAAAACTCTTTACAGGAATACCTTGAAATAAACTTCATATAGGTACCTTTTCTTCACAGGAACTTTATAATAAATAATATTATAAGGAGAAATAATCAAATATAAACTGTATGACAACAGAAACAATATTTTAATTATGTACTTTGGACATGTTGTAAGGAGAGACAGGTCTTTAGAGAGGGACATCATGCTGGGTAGAGTAGAGGGACAGCGCAGGAGGGGAGGTGGATTGACTCAGTTACTGGGGTAATTGGGATGGGTGTGTCAGAGGCAATGCAATTGGCACAGAATAGAGCAGGTTTAGGGCTGTTGTACATAGGGTCGCTATGAGCCACAAACGACTCGACGGCACATAACAACAACAACAATTATATTAAGGTAGTGATTACACTAATAACATATTATATATTAATATGTATTGGCCTAGTGGCAAGAAACTGCACTGCAATCCCAAAGACATGTGGTTTGAGGCCACCAGCTGCTCCATAGGAGAACGATGGGCAATCTCCTCCCATGTGATTAAGTGCCTCTGAGAACCTGCAGGAAAGTCAGCTATGGGTCCAACTCGATGGTAAACAACAACAACAACAACAACAACAACAACAACAACAACAACACTATGTAGTACATATTATTTTTATTTTATTTATTTACATATAGATGAAATTTTAAAGATTAAATCACTCAAGCATAAACACATAGTAAAATTACAGAATGAGATTCTAATAAATGTTCAACTTTCTTTAAAGCTGCACAGGATGATACTTGCAGACTTCTTTTTAAAGAATTATGTATTAGTTTGCTTACAAAGTTTGTATACATTGTGCTTCACACTATTCTTCGTTCACATTGTGTTTCATACAATCAGTCCTATGCATTATGTTTTATAAAATTGTTCACCATTGACCCTTGCCTGTCCCTGTCTTTTCAGGTCCTTGCCAGATCCTTCTCATTTCCTTCACCCCCTCTCTCCACCCACCAAGCTGTGCAACCCTGTGGTTTTGCTCCTACCTATCCTCACCCTTCTACTTCTACTTCTTCCTCCCTGGGATCCTTGTACATGATTTACTAGTTATCCTTTTATTTTTACAATAATGGTCTTCCCCTCCTCCCTTTAAAAAATTATACTGGTTTATTTACAAAGTTTGTATACATTGTTTTTCATACTGGATCTTTCCCATTTCTTCAACTCACCTCCCTCCACCCATCAAATTGTGAATCCCTATAATTAATGTCCCTCCACCATTGCCTTCCAGAGTAGTTGTACCATTTTACAATTCCACCAACAATGCAGAGGGTTCCTATCTTGCCACATCCTCTCCAACATTTATTACTTGCTCAAAATCACCGGCAATAAGAGAAATACAATAATGGTTTTATGCAGTATTTGTCCTTAGGAGCCTGAGTTAGCTCACTCAGCATAATGCTCTCCAGTCTCTCTCAAGTTATATAATATTTTTTTAAATCATTGCTTCTCACTCCAGTAGCAGTGGCAAAGTTTAGCAGGATGGGTTGTGGAGAGGTGGGAACTCGTATACACTATTGGTGGGATTGTAAAATGGTACAACCACTCTGCAAGGCAGTTTGATGTTCTCTCAAAAAGTTGAACATAGAAACTCCATATGACCCAGCTATTCCACTACTAGGAATACACCCCAAGGAAATTAGAACTGAAACACAAACAGAGATTTGTACACCAATGTTCATAGCAGCATTATTCACCAATGCGAAAACATGGAAACAACCCAAAGGTCCAATTACAACTGAATGGATTGAGAAATTGTGGTATGCAGCACTCAGGACCTACAGACTTCTAATTAGGAGAAAGAACTAGAAGAACTTCTAATTATGAGAAACATCCTATTGTGTTTCTTCCTCTTAGGTAACATACCAATGTCAAGATTAAATGCAAACACTCTGATTAACACATACCTCAAGGCTCAGACTAGCCATGCCTGGGGTCCCAGGTTGTTGAGGAAACACCTAAATGGGAAAAAAGAATTCTCTTGAGTTCTCTGGTTAGATATTTCCTTAGAAGCACATTGGGAATAGAAAGTCATCCCAATACATCAAAGAGACCACCCTTAATGATGTATGACCCAGCTGACTTGCATTTCTTTGCAGAATGTAGCACTATTTAAGCTATTTGGAATTAAACTATTTCATAAATTAATTTTCCCACTTTGTAACATTATCCTTTGTATCTCATGTTGCTTTAAAAACAAAATTCAAGAGGAGCTCTGGTGGCCTAGTGGCAAGGAGCTGCAACTACAATCCCAGAGACGCACGGTTCGAATCCACCAGATGCTCTGCTGGGGAAGGAGGGGCATTCTCCTCCTGTACCAGCCAGATCTGATTTGACGGTGCACGCACACAAAAATAATAATAATAAAGAAAATTAAAAAAAAAGCAAAATTCAGTTTTGTTTAAAAGTTACACTAAAGGAGATGAGAAATAAAGCAAAAGAGTTTGAAAGAAAGTGGAAAGTGTTTCATGTTCCTAATAAATACATATCGAAGTAAAAGGGACAAATTTGAGCTGATTTTTACATGGGTTTGACAAACCTCCATTCTTATAGTTTACAGAATATAGAATGGGATTATGGTATTTAGCAAAACCATGTGCAGAAACCTAACTAGCTTCCTATTCAAAATGCTTCATTAAATTCTCTATTATCTTTAGTGAAAGATTATTTTATGTATAAATGGTTGATGTATATGTATATGTATATGTATATGTATATGTATATGTAGGCAAGGATTCTGAGGCTCCCTCTAACATACTTTGGACATGTTGTGAGGAGAGACCGGTCCTTGGAGAAGGACATCATGCTTGGGTGGGTGGAGGGACGACGCAGGAGGGGAAGGCCCTCTATGAGGTGGATTGATTCAGTGACTGGGATAATCGGGATGGGAGTGTCGGAGACAGTGCGATTGGCACAGGACAGAGCAGAGTTTAGGGCTGTTGTACATAGGGTCGTTATGAGTCGCAAGCGACTCGATGGCACATAACAACAACAACATATGTATATGTATATGTATATGTATATGTATATGTATATGTATATGATGTACATCTATATCTGTATTTCTATTTGTACTTCTATTTCTATTCTTATATTTGTTTCTATTTTTATAAATGTTTACTTTTTTATCATTTGAGCAAAGACTTTTTCCTACATAAAGAACATACTATCATTAAGTACAATTATTCATAATATGGTCATTTCAAATATTCTTTTAAAATATAACTGTGTAAATAATTTTTCTGAATGTATTTTCCTTTTCATTCCAAGCTTTATTAATTACAAAACGACAAGTGAAAAAAAAAATAGAGGATAGAAGACTAGAAAGTAGAATAATTTCTGTGTTCAGAAGCTATCTGATTCTTTGGATATTTTCAATATGTAGGCTATCAAATGTTGTCTTACATTCTTCATTTATACCAGAGCTATTTAGAGTGATCTCTAAAGCAAAACATTCAAGAACATTCTTTTAAATAGATGTCAATGCCCCACTTCTTTTTTTTTTTTTTTGAGAAGTAAAATTCTATCACTTGAGGCATAGTACACATTTTTAGAAATTATTCCATTTTGGAAATGGATACAGTTGAAAGTAATTATGTGCATATAGCTAACTCTTCAGAGCAAGAAAGAGTTAGCTATGTAGGCAGGGAAAATGACTGTTCAAGATTTGAAGGAAACTAACTTCAAAACAGAGCCCTTTCCTCACATTGTCCAGTACACATTAATTAATTAATACAGTATACATAATTATACATTGTCCAGGTAATGAATTTTGCAGAGTTTGAAACACTGGACAAAATATGCTTTGTTTTCCACATAAACATGTAAATAGGAGATACATGTATATTTATGCAGAAGTAAAAGAGACGAGACAGAAGATTTAATCTAGTGGCAAATAGTTGTCAGTCATAAGCAATTGTCCTGTCCTTAATGGACAGGTGTGGGCCAATGGGGGTTCAAAGAGCATCAAGGATTAGACTGGCAGAAAGGTGAAGCCGACCCAGAGTGTCAGCATCATCACAGGTAACCCAAGCTAGAAGCCTAAATTTTCTTTCATTTAAATTTCATGTTGAGTGTTTGAATAGGAATTCTTTTTATTTATAGAAATCTTTCACCTTTGTAAATATTTTCCTCCTTTCTTTCTAAAATACTTAATTTTAAAAGAGCTCTTGTGGTGGAGTTCCTAGTATGTTGTGTGACTAGCCACAAGGCTGAGCATCTCTATTGGCTGATCTTTTTGATAAAGAGAGGCAGTCTCCTGTTGCTAAGATTTAGAACTCTAGAAACCTGATGATAAGTCACTATGAGTTAGAATCAACTTGTTGGCAGTGAGTTTTGAGTTGAGCAGCTAACTTTTCCTTAAGGAATTGAAATATTCTAGAGTTTATTTGAAGAATACTATGGCCTAGTGGCAAGAAGCTGCACTGCAATCTCCAAGATATGTGGTTCAAGGCCACCAGTTGCTCTGCTGGAGAAGGATAGGCAACCTTCTGTGCAGTTTACTGCTTTTAAAAATCCACTGGAGGGTCAGCTGTCAGTTGGTTTCTACTCAACGGTACACAACAATAATATGAGCTCTTCAAGGTTCATGTTTTACTTTCCCAGTATGTTGCTGGACTCATGGCATTTACTAATACTTGGTGAACTCATGTAGCATCATCATATTAAAATCTTCATGGAAGTATAATCACATAGTATTCACTGAAGTAATTCAGTGTTAAAATTATTGCTTGATATTTGTATGAGATTATTTCAATATATGACAGAGTGCATAGCTGTAACATGCAGTTAATCTGACATCATAACATGTTTTGCTTTAGGAAACTTCAGCCTACAGTCATATAATTTTATAATATAAATTTGTTGGTTAATTGTTGTTAGATACTGTTGAGCCGGTTCTGACTCATAGAGACCTTATGACATACTGCCTGGTTCAGTGACATCCTCCTAATTACTATAATTTGAAACCATTGTTGGTTAATTAAACTGAAAATGAAACTTACCACCTGTGAGTAGTAGATTCTGACAGAAGGCAGCCCTCCAGTGAGTTTTTGGGAGTGTACATTTTATTAAGAGGAGATTGCCCATCTTTTTCCAGTGGAGCAGTGAGTGAATTTGAACTGTTGATCTTTCAGCTGGCAGCCCAACACATAATACACTGTGCTATATAGCTTCAAATCTAGTTGCCTAACTCAATTACATAATCATAGTAACTTGACTAGTAGTGTCCTCTTTAAAAGTGAATGAAATGTACTTATTTTTGAGAAATTTTCTTTTCTCAGGTCAATTTCTTAGTATTCAAGTAAGCAGTTAAATAATAATTTGCTCACAAACATGAACTTTTTTTGTAGCAATTAACTGATAGTAAAATTATTCCATAAATTGTAGAGATTCTAAGACTCTTTTAAACTTGAATAAATGGAATGAGAATTAGAAGTTAATTTTGGAATATCTAAGAGTCTTGAAACACACCATGGACTGTACAAAAAACCCCCAAAAAACAAACAGATCTGTCTTGGAGATTATAAAATCACATTTCTCCTTGGAGGCTAGGATTTTGAAGCTGCATCTTATATACTTTGGGCATGTGGCCAGGTGGGACCAATCCTTGAAGAAGGACATCATGCTTGGGGGGTGGAGGGACCATGCTGGAGAGGAAGACCCTAAATGAGATGTATTGCTACAGTAACTGGGTCAATGCGGGGGGTAGGGAGTGGTAGGTGTGTTGGAGTCAGTAGGGCTGGCTGAGGACAAGGCAGGATTCAGAGCTGTTGTACATAGGGTCGTTATAGGTCCCTGGCAGCTCAGGGACACATAAACAACAATAAGCTGTCTTTTTTTGAGTAAATAATTGTATCCTTGGGTTTGATTTGTTACCCTTGGATAGCAAGACTGGAGTCTAAGTGTCAACATGGAAAAGAGACTCCAAGTAGTCACATTGTGACTTTCAAATGAAAGGAATTAGCCACTAAATTCATTAAAATAAGTCCAGGTATAGACTTGCTCGGCCAATGTCCCTCAAGTGCTGTCTGGCGTTCAAGAATCTGGAGCCTCTTTCAGGACAGACAATAGAAGATTCTAACTTACCGGCACCGCAACACTCACTCCTAAAAGACACATGAACAGGATTGGATCCTTCATTTTGAAAAGTGGTATCTACAACAGAGAGGTCAGATGCTTAAAAGAGAATATTTTAAATATGTCTGAATATCTGCTCTTTTCAAACCATCTAGGCAAACAACAACAGCAACAACAAAAATCTAAATGTTGCTAGACAACATATTTAATATTTTACTGCTGAATTGATCAAGTTTTTAAAAATGAATTGCCAAGCAATTTAATTAACGATTAAAAAATTAGCTAAGCCTTTTTTTATGGATCAACAACCCAAGAACATGTAACCTCCATGCATATGGTTTTATTTTAATATTTTGTATGGTAAAAATATAGAAACAAACAGACCAATTAAACAATTTTTATATGTACATCAGTGATATTGATTTTCTTTATGCTATGTAACCGCGCTTTCCCCCCCTTTTCCGTCCTGTTTTTATCACCATCAGGATAAACTTATTGCTTCCTAACTTTATGAGTTGATGAAATTTTGCACATTTTCTTGAAATACATTGAGTTGGTAAAATAAATTATATATTTTTAAATGTTTTCTACTAAAGGAGATAGAGTTTATTGAATATCATTCAAAGAGTTTATACTTTGTTTTTCCTCTGGAGGAAACTTTAAACGTAATAAGTAATACAAGGAATAGCCATTTAATAACAAACCTTTATTTGTAGACATATAGGGTATATTAGTCTATCTATATTTAGGCTACCAAGACAGGCATGCAAAAAACCCTATATTTTAAAAATAAAAGGAATTGAATATTTTGGTTTCCTTTGATAGTATAGTGAAGAATGTCTCAAAACCTATTTCCTCACATTTCCATAATGATTTAGCTTCCTAAGTTCACTCTTATATCAGTGGCGAGATGACTAATCAAGAGATTTACTTTTTTCTAAGAATTTTCTAAATTAGGCATTGTCATTAACATTCACAAATAAAAGTCTATAGGTAAATATTATTTTACGTAGCTGGATGACTATACGGTATGTCTACTCTGGGTCATGCAAATAGCTTACAATAAGCTATGATTCAGCTTTTAGTGAGACATGAAGTTAAATTCTCTTTATCAAAGCTGTCTGGAGATAAGAAAAAAAGAACTTACAGGAAGCACATGTAAATCATAAAATCATATTTTACCTTCAATGCTGACATGTACTGTGCTCTCAGGGCCTGGTGATGCCAAACAAGATAAGGCTAAGAAAAGAAGTTTAAAGTTTTTTTCTGGACTCTACCTGGAACTTGCTTTGTACCTCTCATTCAGGGAAGACTGGAAACCTTTATTTTAAAGTGTCAATCCACCAATCAAAGTGAAGCAAAATGGGGGGAGGCACTCTGCTCCTGCAATTAACTCATACCCTTTTATTGCATGCAAGGACATTTGCTGGTAGAGTCTCATTATTTTTAATTGCAACTCAACCCCTGTATTTATCCAGGGAACTCAATTGCAGGGGAGACAGAAAAGGGATAATGAACATGACTTCTGAAGACAATTGATTTGGTGAGCTGAGGGAGGGAGATAACATGTGAAAAAGATTGAAAACAAACCATTATACAGTTATTTTATCTTCTGATAAAGGTTGGGACCCAGTGCCAGCATTCTCAAGATTTTTACTATGTCTGTTGTGGTAAAAGTGACGAATTCCCTTTCCTCTCCTCAACACACTTATTTTAGAAAGAAACAGATAGCTTTGTGGGCTTAAGAGAGGATGAAATCATTAGTTGGATAATGAATATGCCATGAATTTTTACTCAAAATTTCTTCTTGTTGCTGTGTACCATTGGGAACCAACCCATAGCTGACCCTCCAATGGCTTTGAAGAGGCAGTAAATCTCACAGGAGGATGTTGTTCATACTTCTCCCCCAGAGTAGCTGGTCAGTATTACCTAGATAATTTTGTATCTGAAGATAAGAGATTAGAAATAATTAAGAAATGTAAACTGGACCCTAGGGAATGTCACTCAAGGTAACTCTTCAGTGGTACTCTTTGAGGGCAATCGGAACATTCTCCATGAAATAGTGAAAAACAGTGGAAATATCTTTCAGTTTTCTCTTTAAGTGGGTTCATTTGAATCACTTAAAGAGTTAACAGCAACATGGATGAATTTTTCTCTGTGTATGAAAAAAATGTCTTGGATGTTGATTATCTGCTTTTGTTATTTCTCTGCCCCTCCTTGCCTTCCCAAAGGTGTGATTTAAAATAGCTTTTTAAGACCAGTTTCTTAAGAAAGGATGAGTCAGGACACTGTTTAGAGAAGTAGGGATCTTCCAATTATAGGGAATCCTGAGGAAGCTGGTGTTTGAGGAAAAAGATGGTTCCAGACTCAAGTGTTGACTTAACAGCTTCAAATGATGTTATTCAAGAAACTGTCCTTGAAAATTTCCACCAAACTTTGAAAAAAAAGAATTAAATTTAATGTGAAATTAAATAAAGAGCATAAATATGCTTGCAAGCAACAGAATATTGCTGAAAAGTATTATTATTTTTGGCTTCTGCCTTTTCCTCTCTTACTTTCTTTATTGCCACCTCTGATGTCTGGTCAAGTTTTTTAAGCTTTCTGAGCTCTAGTTTCTTTCACTGTGATATAAACAGACCGATTTACAACCACATGCAACTTTGTCAAGGATAGAGAAGACAATGAAGATGTAGTAGTTGACACAGAGTGGGCTCTGTATAAGTATATTGATTACTCTTTGTGGGAGATGCTATAGGAACCATGGGTCTGCAGAGACATCACGTGTATGTGTAGGAGGAAAGGTGAACAGTTAGGTCTATTCACTCCAGGAATGTGGAGAAGGAACTTTGCGAAAGGAATTTTCCTTGTATGAAAACTGATGCAGAATCCCGGTTGGCTGTTAGAGTGAGAATAGGTGGTGTCTCCAATTGTTTATGGGAAATGGTATCTTTGTTAATTCTTTAAAAAAGTAGCAAACTCAAAACCCCCAGCTTGAATTAATTTTTAGTCTGTTTGACTCGTGATAGTTCCACATGTGTGAGGGTAGATCTGTATGCCTTAAGATTTTCAGTGGCTGATATTTCAGAATCAGACGACCTGAGAATTGTAGGTAGACTTAAACCACTACCCTTTCTGTTAGTGGCTGCCAGCTAAGGACTTTGGTGTTCATTATTGTGATATGCTAATAGCTATATTTTTTTTAAATAAGAAAAAAAAATCCCAGACAACACCTATTCAATCTGTAGGCTGAGCAAATCATTGGAGAAGCTGGAATGTATGAAGAAGATAGGAAGATGACTCATAAACAACCTTTGTTATGCAGATGAATTAACCTTATTTGTAGAAAGTGAAGAACATTTGAAGCACTTACTTACCGAAGAAGACCAAAGACAACAGCCTTCAATATAGCTTATATCTCAGCATCAAGAATACAAAAATCCTCACCATTGAATCAATAGGCAAGAGCAAGGTAGATGGAGAAAAGATTGAGCATGCAAGGTTTCCAATGTTCCAGCTTTCCAAGTATGATGTCCCTCTCTAAGGAATAACGTCTCTTCCAAGGTATGCAAGACAAAGCTTCATCATCTTTGCCTTTAAGGAGCACTCTGGCTGCACCTTCTCCAAGACATATCTGTTTGGTTTTTTTGACAGTTGATAAAATAGTCAGCGCTCTTCTCTAACACCACAATTCAACGGCATCAACTCTTCTTCTTCTATCATCCTTAATCTTTGTCCAGCTCTCAATTTAATTTTATTTGGATCCATATTCAACTCTCATGATAAGAGAAGGCAAGAAATCAAAGACATGTTATGTTGGAAAAATTGGCTTTCAAGGACCTCCTTAAAGTTTTAAAGTATAAGGATGTCAGTTTTAAAACTAAGGTGTGCCTGATCCGAGGAGTGATCTTCTCAATTACTTTCTATTTATCTGGAAGTTGGACAATTAATAAAGAATTACAAAAAAGAATTAATGCCTTAAGTTGTGGTGTTGGTGAAGAGCACTGAATATGTCATGAGCTGCCAAGATCTTTCTGCCTTGGAGAAGTGCAACCAAGGTTCTCCTTAGAGGCAAAGATGGTGAAAGCTGGTCTCACATACTTTTGACATGTTTCAGGAGGACCTAGTCCTTGGAGAAAGATATCATGCTGGGAAAGGTGAAGAGTCAGAGAAAGAGAGGAAGATCCTCAATAAGATGTATGACATAGTGACTACAATGGCCCCAGGATGGTGAAGATCATGGTGATGGTGCTGGCAGGGCAAGGTTCCAATCTACATGCATCTATCATTCATAAGGTCACTATGAGTTTTTATCAACTTGGTGGCATCTAACAACAAAAATAACAATAGTAATATTTAGTGGATATTGATTGCTAACCTCAAAGTCATTTGTTCAAATCTACCAGTCTGCTCCAAGTTAGAAAGGTTAGGCATTCGGCTTCTGTAAAGATTTACAGCCTTGAAAAATTTGTGGAGCAGTTTTCCTCTGTCATACAGATCACTATGAATTAGAGTAAGTTTAATGGTAGGGAGTTTTTATAGTAATGTTTTGGTGGGATCTGTATATTTGTCCTTTGTTTTGATCCCAAATATTTAATATATCATAGGTACTGCAGAGTCTTCTTTTTAAAAAATGTAGTATCCTCCACACTCAATCCTGGATTACCATCTTAGAGAAGATATGTAACCTGTTAGTTTCCTCTTCAATAAATATCCTATATAAAACACCAAAATTATTCTCTTAAATACTGGTGTCAGCATTTCATTGTCCCACTCAAAAGTTTTTAAGTTTTCTACAAATTATTGTGGAGTAATAATGTTGGTTTGAAGACTAAGTTGCGCCTGACTCAGGCCATGGTCTTTTCAATCACTTGTTATGCATCTGAGAGCTGGACAAAGATTAAGGATGATAGAAGAAGAAGAGTTGATGCCGTTGAATTGTGGTGTTAGAGAAGAGCGCTGACTATTTTATCAACTGTCAAAAAACCAAACAGATATGTCTTGGAGAAGGTGCAGCCAGAGTGCTCCTTAAAGGCAAAGATGATGAATCTTTGTCTTGCATACCTTGGAAGAGACGTTATTCCTTAGAGAGGGTCATCATACTTGGAAAGCTGGAAGGTCAATGAAAGAGAGGAACACCCTAAATAGGATGGATTGATGCAGTGTTTGCAGCAATGAGTTCAAGAACATCAGAGATGATAAGGAGGGCACCTGGTTGGATAAGGTTAAGATCTGCTGCTCACAGGATTGCTATGAGTTATACCTGACTCAACATCACCTAACAACAACAACAACAACAATAACAACAATGGTTAGTGGAGGAGAGGAACACTTTCAGTGAGATGCAGTGACTATAACAATGGGTTTAAGCAGAACAGAGATTTTGAGGATGGTGCATGATTGGAGAGAGTTTTGTTCATTTGTAAGCTCTTTATGAATTGGACAACACCTAGTGACAACAACAATAACAACAGAGGCTATAAGGTAAAGTTTACACATTTTCACTCCCTCCCTCCCTCCCTCTCACTGCTGTTGAGTCAGAACTCATAGCTAACACTCCAGCAATTTTCAGAGATTGAAAAATCACACAGGAGGAGTTTTCCCACCTTCCTTTTCTTTTGTGGAGTCATTGGTGGATTGGGACTATAGTTCACTAGTGCTAGGAAGTCAAACTAGCATTTCAATTAATCTTTTTAGGCGTGCTTCTTATTAGTCATAAACAATACTGTGTATTAACATATTAACGCATTTTGTAATCAGTTGAAATAGGTTTCAAGTAAACAATTTTCAATCTTGCCTTATGTGGTGTATGCTAATGGTGAAGTGTGTAAGTATAATCCAAATATATCCTGTAAAGAGAGTTTTAATTATAGAGACATTTAGAAAATAGTATATGAATGAGTATTTGATAGTAATTACAGATGTTGAGAAAGTTACAGAAGCTACTGGAAACCACACTCCTGATCAAGACTGTGCCTGCATGAAGAACAACCACAACACTAATAATAACTGTACCTGTGTTTTAAGTACTGCAAAAATTAAATAATTCAGGGTTACAGAAGATCTGAGCTATGTGTGAGTTCACTAGTCACAGGAAAAGTTAGGAAGAAAAATATAAAGATAGACGATTCCGAGGAAGATAAAATTTTAGTGAGGGAGAACACACAAGTTTTCTCTCAGGTACTCATTGACCTCTGTGA